GAAAAAGAATACATGAAAAAAGATACAAATGGACATCTGAAGAAATCAAAAATAGTGAATTTAATAAAAAGATAGTGCATGCATTAAATCAAGTTAGCATGCAGCAGATAAACTCCAATGATATTGATGATTTGAATAACCTTATTACCGAAACAGTGAATAAAAGCCTTCTGCAACTGAAAAAACCGAAAACAACATGCAATGAATTAGACAAAGAAATATTACAACAAATAGAAAGAAGGAAGATCTTAAATAAATCTAACAAAAGGGGAACCGACGAATATAGAGAACTTAATAGGCAGATTAGAAAAGGAATCAGACAACAAAAAAGAAAAGAAAACGAAAAATTAATAACAACAACTATTGAAAAAAATAAGAGTATGAAATGTCTCAGACCGACACTAGGACGACGTCAGATGATATCATTAATAGGAAAAGACGAAAATGAAATCACAAGTAGAGAAAACATACTGACACGAATAGAAGAATTTTACACAGAACTTTACAGATCACATCAACAAGATGATGAGATGAGACCAGCACGGAAATTAATAAAAAATGTTGGATCAGAAATAATGCCAAAAGTAACAATTTCAGAGGTAACTACAGCATTGGAAAACATGAAGAGAAATAAAGCTGCAGGAGAAGATAGTATTACCACAGATATGATATTAGAAGGAGGTAAGGAACTAATTGCAATTGTAACTAAGCTTGTGGACAGTTGTTTACATCAGGGCAAAGTCCCTAAGAGCTGGAACAACTCTAAAGTAATCTTATTGCACAAGAAAGGTGATAGTCGAAAATTGGAAAACTACAGACCCATCAGCCTACTGTCACACCTGTTTAAAATACTCACCAAAGTCATAACTACTCGACTAACAAGGAAATTAGACGAATACCAACCATATGAACAGGCAGGTTTTAGAAAAGGCTATTCAACTTCCGATCACCTGTTAACCACAAAAATATTAATAGAAAAATGTAACGAATACAAGTTTCCAGTTTTCCTTGCATTTGTAGACTACGAAAAAGCTTTCGATACCATAGAACACACGGCCGTAATAAACGCAATGCAAAATTGTAGAATAGACAGCAGATATATTAACTTAATAAAAGAAACTATGAACCAAGCTACAGCTACATACTACCTAAATGAAAATGAACACACGAACCCTGTACCATTAAACAGGGGAGTCAAACAGGGAGATACTTTATCACCCAAACTGTTCACCTTAGTTTTGGAGGACGTTTTTAAAAACCTAAATTGGAAATATAAGGGAATAAACATCAATGGCCGCTACCTCAGTAATCTACGATTTGCAGATGACATAATCCTGATAGCTACTGACCTACAAGAAATGCAAACCATGCTTGTAGAACTTCATACCGAATCTTCTAAAATAGGACTGAAAATGAATTTAAACAAAACAAAAGTCATGCACTCCGAAGACACCGTGACAATAATAAACGATAAAGTTATAGAAAAAGTTGAAGAATATATATACTTGGGACAAAAAATAATCCTAAATAGGGAAATTCAGACTGAAGAAATAAAAAGAAGAAGAAAGTTAGCTTGGGCAGCATTCGGTAAACTGAACTATATACTCAGAAATCAACAAATTCAATTACATCTTAGATCTAAAGTTTTTGATGCATGCATTATTCCGATATTAACTTATGCGGCACAAACATGGACAATCACAAAAAAGAATATGAATATACTTAGAGTCACTCAACACGCGATGGAAAGAGCACTGCTAGGTATATCACTTAAGGACAAGAAAACAAACACATGGATAAGACAGAAAACCAAAGTCACCGATGTGGTGCAAAAAGCATTAAAGCTGAAATTAGGAGCGATCTAAACAAATGGCACAGATCAATTTTAACCTGGAGACCATACCAACACAAAAGACCCAGAGGCAGACCTCCTATGAGATGGACAGATGATCTGAAAAGGACTGCCGGGAAAAATTGGCTACAAGTAGCGTACAATAAAAACCAATGGAAAGGAAGACTTGAACAGGCTTATGTTCAGATGTGGACGTGAATGGCTAGACGAAGAAGAAGAAGATGAGTGTCAGATTTTTAGGGAAGAGTTGCTAGCAATATTGCCGCTGAAAGGTAACACTCGAGGGAGAAGATTTATTCAAGGTTATTGATACATTATTTCTAAATCTAACATCAGTTATAATAAAATAATTTCGCTTTCCACTAATGGCGCCCCAGCAAGGATTGGCAAAGAAAAAGGTGTAGTAGAGAGGATCAGGGATAAAAATTCAAATTAAATAACATCAGTGCATAATACACCAGGCAGCCCTTAGTTGAAAACTTAGTGTTAGACTTAAAGAAGTCATGGACAGTTTAGTGAAGTTAACTAATTTAATGAGTCGCATTCTGCTCTTAAGCACCGACATTTTAAGGAGTTTCTTTCTGAAAGTGATTCAGCATATTCTGACTTACTACAACAAAATAATGCTCATTGGTTAAGTAAAAGTTCAAGTTAATGAACGTTTGTGGTTAATAAAAGAATATTTGATCTCCTTACAAAATATAGATATGCAGGGAGCCAGGGCACATTTTGAGTATACACCAAACAGGCGCAACATGCTGGTTGTGGCTTTTCGAAAAGATATTTTAGAATATTTGAATGCGCTTAACACAGAGTTACAATGAAACGGAAAATTAGTATGTGATTTGATACAAAGCGTGCCTGCTATTCGTCGTAAGCTGGATATCTTTGAAAAATCTATTGCACAACAACAATTCATTCATTTTCAACTATTCTTGAATATAACAAAAATAAAGAGTACTCCGAAGAAGACACTGCAGTGTTCGTAAATTTTCTGGGCGACCTTAGGAACAAATTTGCTTCAAAATTTCAAGACTTTCAAGACAAATTTGGTTGCTTAGATGTTTAATTTGACAAAAGCTTTACTTCAAATAGAGATTATTGAATTACAAGAAGATTTGTCCTTTAACGTTTATAAATCGGTATCCGCCAAAGAATTTTGGGCCAAACATGTGTCAGTAACATATGAAAATTGCAGACAACTTGCAACCAATTTTACCACTACGTTTGGCTCAATGTATATGTGCGAAACGTCCTTGTCAAAAATGAATTTTTTGAAAAACTAATATCGCTTCTGATTAACAAAAGCCAACCTCGAAAAACTTCGAATTTGTTGTTCGACTCGAGAACTAGACCACAAAAAACTACTCTAGCTAGCTGAATACCGTCGGTGCAATTTTTTGCATTAATGTCTTAATTAAGGTCTTTTGTTTTATCATTAAGAATGTACCAAAATAATAAACACCTTGTTATTAAATGTTAATTTGTTTTGTTTCTGGACCTTGTTTAAATTTTCTTTTAGTATCTGGACCTCACATGAAATTACTTGCTGACCCCTGGTTTAGACACTACTGATACTGTCAAACGTTGTGTTAAAAAAAAACAAAAACATCCACAAGTTGGACGCCCAGCAGTAATTAAACTTTACAATCACAGTATGGACGACGTGGATAAAAAAGATTTTTTTATATCACTTTATAGAACGTTTATTAGAAGTAAGAAGTGGACTCTACGGGTAATGTTTCACTATTTCAATATGGCAGTGTGCAACTCATAGTTTGAGTATCATCGTGACAATCAAAATAAACATAAAAATAAGAAAACAGATTTATTGGAATTTACGTTTTATGTTGCAGAAGATTTAGCTTTCTCTAAAGCTCCACTAAGAACACCGAAAAGAAGTCGTCCTTTCAATGAATCACTGAAGTTCTCCTAGTTCCCTGGAAGTTCACCTTTTAAGTTTGTAACAGTTGAACCTTCCAAACGAATGAAACAGCAACAACCTGTCAGCAAAGTGAGATATTATGAAATTTCTCACTGGCCAATTCCTACAAAAGGTCACGATCACCGTTGCGGTTTTCAACAAAAAACCGGCTTCGGCCACCAAAAAAATTAAAAAAATTACTAACAAAAACCGGCTTCGGCCACCAAAAAAATTAACAAAACCCCCAAAACCCGGGCACGTAGGGCCCAACCCCTTGAGCACCAAGTCGCCGAACTGAGCCGGGACTCAGAGCGGGGACTTGAGGCCAAGTAAGCAATTTTAGTTCGCGGATAAGCCACCTTAAGATAACAGGAATATAGCGGAGATGCGCTGTCCTGAGTTTTGCATTCGATTAGGAAACCATGTTGGGGTTCTATTACCCAGGACCTCCACATAAAGAGCATTTGGCTGATTGTTGTGCCTCTATAGCGCATCAGAGTGCTATAGGGGGGAAAGGGATGGTCTAGAGCATTGGAGCACGGTGGGTGACTCCTGTTTATACTCGAGTTAACACACCTTGCTCCAATGAATTGTTACACCCGATCGTAATTCTTAGGGGTGAACATTTCTCATAGGCTGGGTTTAATCAAATTGCTTGCTTGCTTGCGGTTTTCAATGATGCAGCGGAAGATCACGCACGATGTGTGAAAAGTGTAACGTCTTTCTGTGCTTGTTGAAAGACAGAACATATTTCAAAAGTTATCATACAAGACATCAATAAAACATAATATATTTTTATACATGCTTTTTCTGTAATAAAATAGTATATATAATTTTATGTTATATGCCTTATTAACCTCTTAGTAGCAGTTGCCACCAATTTGTAAAATAAAAAGTGTGGGATCAAAAATTGTATCAAAAATATTTTCCAAAAAAAATACCAACAGAAAAATGTTACCTTTTAAAAAAATTCAGGGCTGTAAATGAGTTAATACAATTCTTAGTACTTAAACAATTAAACAAGACAAACGATAATTAAATTCCTCTTCTTTGTAAATGGTAATTACTATTTGTTTATTTGATTTTATTTTATTTATTGGATTTTATGAAATACATTTCCAATAAATAAATTTTATAAAGTATTAGTCAAACATATCAGTTACACATTTGTTAATTATCAACTTTGATACCTTCTTTAACACAACTTAACTTAACAATTTACAGGCATAATTCTAGTTAAGTCCGAGAAATGTGCCAGCAGAGATTTTGGAAATGGAGGAACTGTATGCGTTTGTAACGCCACGTATTGCGATACCAGTGAACCAGTTAAGCCAGTGCCAAGTAATCAATATATTGTGATTACATCGAATAAAGCTGGTCTAAGATTCAACAAGGAAATAAAGAATTTTGCCAATAATACATCAAGAAAACAATGTACCATACCTAAAACTGATAAACTCTGTGCGCATGATAGAAAAACTGACTACAAAGTATGTGGAGTTACCCCAAAATCTTTGCTTATACCAGGCTCAACTATCTACATTGACTCGTCTATTGTGTATCAAGAGATAAAGGGCTTTGGTGGAGCCATCACTGATGCAGCTATGATAAATGTGGCAAATATGAGTGCTCCACTTAAGAAACACTTACTAAGGTAATTAAATTAATGCATCTTTTTCACTTAGTTAATAGTTTTTCCTTTATATCTCTTATTTTTTTATTCTCTATTATTTGGATTTATATGTTGTAATAATTATTCAACAATAAAACACTGAAAACTTTGTTTTCTAAACTTCTACAAAATTTATAAAATCTTATCCTACAGCTGTTTCGGCAGAGTATCTTTCTCAAGTGATCTATTTTTGGTCTTTGTTTACACTTTATAGTCTTTAACGAAATAGGTTAAGGAGGGAGAACTGTTTGTCTTAAGTTGGTCATTCAAAATTACGTCTGTGTTTTTTAATTTGTTAATTTCCATAAATTCTAACAAAGGTAGCTTAAGGTCTGTATTTTGAATGTGAAGAGTTTGAAATTCGTCATTAAAAGATTGATTATGATATAAAAGGTAAAGTGCGTATGTAGAATCTGTTTTTCTATTATTAAAAGCACTTTTATGTTCTGCTATTTCGTTTATTAAAATTTATACCAGTTTGACCGATGTAAGATTGGCAGTCGCCAAATTTAAGTTTGTATACATCACTGTGTAAGCGGTTTTTATTTTGGCTCTTGTTGTTTTTAATATATTTGCCTAAATTGTTGTTTGTTCTAAAAGCTGGTGTTATACCTTTTTTTATGTCTTTGGCTATTTTTGTTGATATTTTGCCTGTATATGTAATCAAGCAGAAGGTACTAGGTTTTTTCTCTGGTGGTGGAAATACTAATTTCAGGGCTTTCTTGTGTAGTTTTGATTTAAAATTTTATTAATTGTTTGTTCGTTGTATCCATTGCTTACTGCTATTTGCTTAATGATATTAAATTCTGTTTCAAAGTTGTATGTTGACATTAGAATCTCTGTTAATCTATGTAACATACTAGGATAGGCTGTCAGTTTATGTTGTGTGGGATGGGATGATAAATTGTGTATAGTGGTGTCAGCATGGATAGGTTTATGAAATATGGAGAAGTCATGTTTGTTCGTTAAGTCTCATAATTTTTAAATTAAAAAATTTATGGATTGCTTTTGTTCTGTGTCTATTGTAAATTCAATATGACTATGAAAAGAATTAATATACGATAAAGATTGGTCAAGTTGTCTGTTAGTTCCTGTAAAACATACCAGTACATCGTCTACGTATCTCCACCAATATAAAAACTGTTTGAATACGGGATGTTTTGATATTATCTTTGTTACTAGATGATCCATAAAAATATATCAGTAACAATCCTCTAAGCCCATTGTAGTTGTCTCATAAACAAATTATAGATGGATCTTAGAAAAAATATATATAAAATAAAAACCAGATGGCAGATAGATAAGGAGAATAAATCATTTTAGATCTAAATTAGCTGAAATGAATATAATTTTTGCATAACACATTCTATATCTGTTAAAAAATCAATATTTGTTTTATCAATTTTTCTATATCGTAATATTTTGGTATTTAAATTTTCCAGTGTAAAATGATTAAATAATAATCGCATGTTAATAAAATAACCCGTTTGTATACAATTTTAGGTCGTATTTTTCACAAGATGGTCTCGACTACAATATCGCCAGAGTTCCTATGGGTTCAACAGATTTTTCAACTCGTCTTTATTCATATATTGATAGTGACACACATGCAGTAAACTGTGTAGATCCTACTTTAAAAGACTTTCAGCTAGCACCAGAGGATATCAACCTTAAGGTTAGATCTTTAAACTCTTTAATTGAACCACCAGTTAGAAGAAGGGAATAAACGCCAAAATATGGCGAAACGACTTTTTAACAAAAATATACCTTTTAAGGCAAGACCCATCTGTCCGCGCTAAGTAGGGAATAAACACCGTATAAGTTACGGAGATATTCCAACACTAAATGTGCGACAGTTTTAAGAAGGGAATAAATAAAGGGAATTATTTCTTTCTTCAAACTTACGGTTTAATCTGTTTGTCACGTGTTTTTTGGCGGCCTACGGCGACATGCTGTAACTGTCGGTGATGAAAATACAATTCAGTTGCTGTTTACATCTACGTAAGTCTCGTTCTTGTTTTGTTTGTTGATATTTTAAACAGAAAAATGTCTAGTAGTAGTGATAGTAATAGCAGTGAGGACAGTAACATAAACATTTTTTGCGATTTGGCGACTTCACGGAAGAGAAAACGGGGTGTACGAAATAAACATTTATACAAACACGAGGTACAAAAATTACATCGTTTACACGGTGAAACCTATACTAGTTCAACTACAGGGCGTATTGTACCGGCAAAATCAAATACTGTTAGTGAGTGTACATGTAAAAAACGGTGCACACAGAAGTTTAGTTTAGAAGAAGAGCAAACGATTCTGTGTTCACAAACTGTGTACAGTGGACGTCCAAAAAATGAACAGGATACTTTTCTTATGAGCCTCATAAACTGCTCGAAAGTTATTCGAAGACGATCCAAAAATGAAAATCCCAAAAGGCGTGACAATACTTTTCGTTATTTTATCCAAATAAATTCTGCAAGAGTTGAGGTATGTAGGCAAGCTTTTTCAATCTTGTATACTATAAAAAATAAAGCAATTTTTCGACTGACTTCTCTTATTGCCGAAGAAAATTACCGGTGGATCACCGTGGTATTCATTTAAATCCTGGCAACAATTTAGATAACAATGTAGTTTTTGCGATCGATCATCATATTCGATCATATCCGTTAAAAGAATCACATTACAGCACCAGATTAATTCAATATTTGGATGCTAATCTCAATGTCAAAATAATGCATGAACTCTTTTGCAAAAAGTATCCCGAACATGCCAACATCGTTAAATACGATTTTTTTAGAAAATACTATAATGATAACCATGTATAATGATAACTTGTGGTCTTCCAAATCTGTAGATTTGGAAGACCCAGGTTGACGTTTGTTCAACTTGTGAAGAACTTGAGGCTAAAATAAGAAGTCAAACGCTGAATGAAAACGCCAAGCGTGTAGCAGTTGCCGAAAAGATGGTACATCTGAGACGAGCTAAAAAGTTTTACCTGAAGCAGCAAGAAGTGTTGAGACTATGTCAAGAAAAGGAAAATGTCGGGCTATTGTTTTCGACTACATGCAAAACCTTCCGCTTCCAAAAATACCAGTACAGGAAATGTTCTATCTCAGAAAACTATGGCTTTACGTGTTTTGTGTCTACGATTTGAAAACAAATTGTGCAGACTTTTACACGTACCATGAAGGAGAAGCTAAAAGAGGACCTGATGATGTATGTAGCCTAATTTGGAAGACAATTCAGAATATGGATCCTGCTATAAACGAACTTCACGTGTTTAGTGACGCTTGCGGAGGATAGAATAGAAACAATACCCTGATACGGTCCATGCTCATGTTGGTTTCGACTGGACGGTTCGATAAAGTGTATCAGTACTTTCCTGTGCGTGGACATTCGTTTCTACAGTGCGATCGGAATTTCGGAACAGCACAAAGACTTATCAGGAGAAAATATAGGATTAACGTACCAGAGGAATACAGCATAATGATCTCTACTGCCAAAACAAGAGGATTTTCGGTAACAACAATTACCACAGACGACATATTCGACTTTAAAAACACTTGGAAAAATTATTACAAAAAAACGTGTAAGTCGGTGGACAAAACGTCTACATTTATGATATCCAAATATAGATATTTAGAGTATTCTTCTTCCCATAAAGGCTACGTAACAGTTTCAGAACAAATAGATGGTTTTCTGAAACAGAGGTTTCTACTTCAAAAAAATGGGGTGATCCCTTCATTGCCTACTACCAGAGCATACAGGGCAAAAATACCAATAAATGAGAAAAAGATGGAAGACGTTCGGAAAATAATTCCATATATTCCAGAAGATAAAAAAGAATTTTATGAAAACATTCTTACATGGCCAACTACTGCATCAGATAATATCATTGAGGAAGAAGGGTAGTTTAGGGAAATGTTTTTTTTTTGTGTATTTGTTTGTTTTTTATAAATTACTTTAAATAAAATAAGCTTTTTCATACAATTTTGTGTCTTTATTCATGTCAAAAAAATATAAGTTGTAAGAAAGGAATAAATCCAAGATTTTCTTTATCGTCTTTCTAGATAACGAAAATCACTGGATGGTTTTTCTCCAATCCAAATTAACTTATATAAACTGTACTTTATAGTAGATGTCATTAGTAAACAAGAAAAAATTAAATAGAACGAATAAACAGTTTTTATTGATTTCCCGAAAATCTACTTTTTGGATTCATTCCCTTCTTCTAACTGGTGGTTCAATTCTATTAGTAACTTTTGACAGATTTATAGTGTAAATAAATAAAACCGTTTGGCCTCATAGACTGCGATGATCCGACAGATGCTTGTGTACTTAGTTTATCGATATTTGTGCGTTTTGGTTGAATTTTTATTGTGTACATATTTCTTTGCTATTTTGGTCACTAACTTTTAGTAGTAGCTTTATTAAATTCAGAAGTATAATGTGTAACGGAATTTAGTTCCACAGTGACCGGATAACTGAGGGTTTTTATTGATTTCGAGTACATTCTTGTTCCACAAGAATATAGGAAATGAATAATCGCTATATAAGAAGCTGCACATACCAAAGAAGGCTATTCAAAGATAGATGTCGCCTAATAGTTAAAATTAACTCATTTTTGGCATACATTTGTTCTACTAATCTCATAAAATTGTTTATGATGTCTGAAAATATAGAGACTATTTACCACTGTGAGGTCATATGACTTCCCAAGAGGTAGTTAAACAATAATACATATATTAACTAAAGTCAAAATAGCCATAAAAGATCAGAAAATAACGCTGATTTAACACTGTAATTAATTTTTTACGCAAAAATACAATATATTATATGATACATAAATTGTTGACAGTCATTAGATAATCAGGAACAATAATTTTCAATAGACAAAATTTTTATCTCAAATAAAAATAAAAAGTCCATAGAATTTGAAAACTCGGTTTTTTAGTTTTTATTGGATATTAAAATATACAACATTTAAGGTAATAACTTTCTCAGATTTGAAGAAACCTAAATATATTGTAAATTAACTAAATAAAGTCTAGAAGCAGTAGGTTAATAAAGAAAGTCTCCACATTTATAATTTTATTGTGTTTTAATGCAAATATTTTGAGAACAATTAATCAGTTATTGATTTCTTCTTCTTCTTAGCTTTCTATCGTCCATCTTGGACGTAGGCCTCTTCCAACTCTTCCATCGGTCTCTATCCTGAGCAACATATTTCCAATTTGTTCCGGCTATTCTTTTAATGTCATCAACCCATCTCATTTGTTGTCTTCCTCTTGGTCGTGTACTTTCGTAAGGTCTCCAATGTTGTATTATAGTATTCCAACGTTGGTCTTTTTGTCTAGCAGTGTGGCCCGCGAAGCTCCATTTAAGTTTGTCAATTTTTGTTGTTAGGTCCTCGACTTTTGTTTTTGATGTTATCCAGTCGTTTCTCTTTTTATTTGACCGTCGTATACCTAACATTGCTCTTTCCATTGTTCTTTCTGTTGTGGCTAGTTTATTCATGTTTGCCTTGGTTAGGGTCCAGGTTTGACATCCATATGTCATGATAGGAAGGATGCATTGGTTGAACACTTTGCTCCTTAAGCATAAGGAGTTATTGATTTAATATCATGTATTAAAAATCTTAATAAGATAAGAAGCTGGTATGAAGCAAATATACATTAAGTCAAACAGATAAAAAAACTAGCAATGATACAAGTAAATAATATCATACCAGAGATATGAAATGTGGAAAACAAACATAAATGTAGAGATCTGATGCGGCATGATAATACTAATCTACTTAGTCGAAACCAGAGCTGAAATGAGATATAAGGAATGACTGACAACAAAAATAATTAGTGTGCTTAGATACAAATATTCTTCTTTTTCTCAATATGCCATCTTTTTTTGAAGGTTGACGATTCAATTGGTAACAGTTAAACGTTAAATGACAGCTCTGAAGATGTCGGACGATGTTTTGTCAAGCCATTAACGTAGATCCTTAAGCAAGGAATTTTGTCTTTTACCTACTGACCGCCTCCACTGAATTTTGCCTATGATTAACCCAAGTATTTCATATCTATCACCGCGCATAACTGTTTGATATTCATTAATTTAGATGTTATTTGGTTGTTTTCATTTATCATCATCATCACCTAGCCACTTTTTATCCAATTTCTCATTTTAGTTTTCATTCATCGTTTTGTGCTCCCAAGAACTTGGTTATTATTTTCGTCCAAAAAATATTCCGTATATATCAGTAGTATTCTCCTGTTTTGTTTCTCTAAAGAAGGTTTGATAGTCCAGCTCTCGCAGGCATATAAAATGATTTAGTGACGTCTTTCACTGAAAAGGATAAAGGAAGATATTGAGTCAGCAGTACAAGATGAAATAAAAACAGAAACTTGTACCCGAAACAATCACTGGTTTGACGATGAATGCAAAGACGCAACACAGAAAAAAAATAAAGCCTATGCAAAAATGCTTACCCGCCGAACTAGAACAAGTATATAGAATTACCAGACAAAGAGAAAAGAAGAAAATACACAGAATGAAGACACGAAACGACATCAAAAGGAACTTTTTTATACAATATATAAAAAACCTCAACAGAGAGAAAGAATTCAAAACATTCTATAAGAAAGTTAACATCAACAGAAAAGAATTTAAGGCAAACACAAA